TAAATAAAAAGAAAGAACAGCAACAGCAAAATAATAACATTTAAGAAAAAAACACTAGCAGGTGCTGGAGAGATGGTTCCTTGGGTAAGCACTTGTTGCACAGGCAGGGGGCCCCGAGTTAGGATCCCAGCACCAAATCCAACTACAGCAATGGTGGGCAGTAGAGTCCCTAGAATTACCAGAGAAGGCTAGCTGGTCACCTTGCTCCAGGATCAGTGACACCCAGTCTCAAGTAAGTGGGTTGGAGAACAAGAGCAGGATACCCCTGCCCTCCTCTGGCCTCTGCATGCAGATGAGAATCTCCCCCATCATTTGCATACCCTTCATACATACACCACACACACACACACACACACACACACACACACACACACACACACACACGGTGCGAGGGGTGCATCAATACCCAGAAGCTAAGTATGTTGCTAAGAAATGAGATTATTTTTTGTAAGAGAAAGTGAGAGAACCTCAAACATTACACTAAAAACAAAGAAAAAGAAAAAGGTTTAAAAAATAAATAAATGAGACTAGAAAGGATTGCCCAAGTTTAAATTTATGATAAAGGGGGGAGGATCCAAGAGGACTTTTCTCCATCAATGCTCAGACCATCTGCTGTCTCATTGGTTCTTCCTTGCATGCTGTCATGAAGCGACATTTTTTTTTTTCAGTGACTCCTGAGTTTAACTAGGATGGCTTACATGGGCAAAGGTGAGAAGCTACTTACTGGAACAAATTTTCTACGTGTGTTCTCCGTAATAAGATTTGTTCTTATTTGTTTGCCTCTGAGGGAAGATGGCTCGGCGGAACTGAAGGAATCTACTTATGAGAAAGACTCGTGCCGAAACTGAGATCAAATAAAATGTTTGGAAAATCCGAGAGCGAGGCCTCCAGTGAAGCAATTTGGGGGCGGCAGGGACTTGCCTTGTGCTTCTTACTATCTAAGTGAAGTATGTGTTGCAGGGATGTGGACTTTCTAGAAGCCAGAGGAGGAGACCTAGGCACTGAAATGCCTCCCAAGCCATCTTACAGTGATGTAGGGGGCAGATCTTAAAGGGTGGGACCTGTACACACACTGTTACATGGAAGTACACAGTTTGTGTTTAAAAAAAAAATAGCTTGTTACTGTTAAACTATATGGCTTCAAAATTTACCAACAAAGTGTGAAATAAATACCCTGAAGCAAACCACAGAAGTTGTCTAATTATATCTAAACATGTCTTGTAGGGTGTACTAGGTAAACAATAATGAGGTAAGTAAACCCATATGTAAATATGATACATTACTGGTTATAATTTTGTGTGCAAATGTGTACTCATGTGTAGGTACACATGTGTGTATAGGTCTGTGTGTCCATGTGTATGTACATATGGAAGCCAGACATCAACTTCAGGTGCCCTCCACCAGGTGCCAAACACCTTGTGTTTTGAGACAGGGCCTGCCACCGGCTTGAGGCTTTCTGATTTGATTAGGCTGCCTGCCCAGTGAGTATCAGGGATTTACCTGGCTCTGCCTCCCCGGTACTGGGATTACAAGTACATACCACCATGCCTGGCTTTCTAGCAATAACTTTTAAACAATTTATAATTAGAAGTTATAATGCAATCATATGATATGCAAGACGGAGGAACCATACTTGGAAGAAAAGGGTGTCTGGTCCCTGTCTCTTTCACAACAATTAAAATAGATTCTTAGAGACTACACATACTCAAGGAGCCAAAAGCTAAACTATCATCATATCGCATCTGAGTCCTCTAGTAGAACTTTCCCACTTTGTCATAACCCATACCCCTATGGCCCCCACTGGTACATTAGTTAAGTGCCCTGATTTATGACTTCCTTTGCTCTGGGGTAATACAACCTTATATAACCACTCCCACAATGGAATATAACTTTGGGGGAACTTAAATCCACACTCCCAGGCCATGGCCTCTTGCATTGGCTCAAGAACAAATTCTGCCATACTCCCTCGGATGTGAGAGCTGGGTTTGTGTTGACATTACCCACAGGCTTCTAAAATTATGCACGAAAATGACCAGAGTAGAACACTGATCATTACAAGATATATTTCAGATGAAGTAATACTTAAAATTCAGAATCTCAGTTTTTGACTCAGCATATCTCAATTCCAAATTCAAAGTGTTCAAATCTCTAGCAGAAGTAGGAACCTGTGCAATGAGAGGCCTTACTGGCCCCTTACTATAGCACTTAATATTAATTGTAAATGATATTTCCTAGTGGGACAGTATTTCAGTGTTTTTACCACCTGTGTGACAGCTCAGAATTACCCAAGTATGAGCCCTAATCATTATTAATATTATCAGAAAAAATATTAATTTGGAATAAGCAGCTAGAAAGAAACTGAGGTTTGATTTTACTCAATAAATAAACCCTCATATATGTTGTGATCAAGGGCATGTAATGGCTGAATAGTCAGTTAATGATAGACAATGAACCATGTGTTCAGAAACACAGTCTTCTACTAGCATGTTAAACTGTTAAAACATTGATATTTCCTATAATTTATTTTTATACATTCTCTATAGATCCCAGATTTTCCCAGAATATAATTTTAATTTCCTGAGAACATAGCAAATCTTAACTTATACAACACAATACTCTATTTCTCATTCTGGAATCTATAAGTTTCACCTCCTGATTAAGCAAACAACTTAGACATACATGAGAAAGAAAAGCTATTTCTCCCATGTATCCAACAGGCACACTGTCATCACCCATTAGAGAAAGGTGATTCTTAGAAACGTCATTGATTTGTTGCCATTGATTCACATTTAACTAAAGCAGAGTTAGAAAATGACTGTATTCTCGGGAATCACGCTCATCCGTTTTTACGTTCAGATCAGATTACTGAAAGTCAGAAACATGACTCACAGGAAGCAATTTATCCAAGGGCACAAACCTCTCTAAAGAGGGGAGCATCCATTTCACTTCTTCCAATATTCTGACACCACCCATCAATAGGACTGAACAGTCTTGTAAACTTTTTTAAAGCATTTTGTATTCTGGAAGTGTCTTCAGTCGAGGTGAAATAAAGGCCACTGTTCTACAAATACACAGTCACCAAGAAACCATGACTTACAGACACAGTATGCATCGGAGATGGTGTTTTCTACCATACAGAGTTCAGACAGCGAGGCTCCAAGCCCTAAATTAAAATGTCAGTCTGAAGACAGCCTTGGGCAGATTTTCCTCGTGGAATATTATCCCAAAGCTCCACACTATTGACCCATGCATGCTATTTCCAGGAACCGTCTGAGTGTCATGGATTTGTCATTGTGAATGTTGTTTGGGAACTGTCGTCATATGATGTCACTGCAATTCAATCTTGCACTTTTCCGTCTCACCACATTAGGGTGGTAAACAGCTCTTCCAGCAATGCTGGCCGGGGAAGCCGAGAGCCCAACTTCAGATCCTCACCTCTCTCTCCTCTCCTCTAAATCCAGTCAACCATTCTCCCCCCAGCTCTGTAGCAGACTACCTGATGTGGCCTCTCCTCACTCTCTGTCCCTGTTCCCAGGGGCAGATCCTGGTGGGATACCCTGCCTTCCTCCATGCTGTGTACTTCCTCCCCTCTTCCCTTTTCTATCCCATTCCTAAGTGTCAGCTCCCATTACCTAGAAATACATTCTACCCAGAACACTCAGTGACCACACTTAATCAGGATCCCAGAAGAATTCCCTACTAGACAACACAGAGCCACCACACCCTCTTAAGAACCAGAGAGGGCAACAGAAACCAAGGAACAAAGTACCCACCCAGCAAAGACAAGGCCAGATATCAGCAACTAGAATTACAACCAGCCCAAACCCAGATGCCTAGGTGCTAGCATAAAACCATAATCGATAAAAGCTGGGACAATGTTACCACTAGAGCCCAGTAACCCTACTACAACAGGCCTGGAGAAATGTAATGGAGCCAAAGCACAAGACAAGGATGTTAAAAATAACCTTTATGAATATGATAGAGGTCCTTAAAGAGGAAATTAGTAAATCCATTAAAGAAATCTAAGTAAACACAGATAAGCAGTGGAAGAAAGTGAATAAAAGAGTTCAAGACCTGAAAGTAGAAACAGAATCAATAAAGAAAACCTAAACAGAAGAAATCCAGAAATGAAAACTTTAGGAACTTGAACAGGAACCTCAGAGGCCAGTCTGACAACAGAATACAAGAGACAGAAGAGAGAACCTCAGGCATTGAAGATAAGACAGACGAATTGGATACCTTGATCAAAGAAGATATTAAATCTAAAAAACCCAAGCACAAAACAACCTAGAAGTCTGGAACACTATGGAAAGACCAAGTCTATGAAAAAATAGAAATAGAGAGGAAGAAGAAACCCAGGTCAAAGTCACAGAAAATATCTTCAACAAAATCATAGAAGAAAACTTCCCTAAACTAAAGAAAAAAGTGCAGATCGAGATACAAGAAACATACAGAACACCAAATAGACTAGACCAGAAAAGAAATTCCCTACAGCACATAATAACCAAAACACTAAATGTAGAGAGAAAAAAGTTACAAAAAGCAGCAAAGGAAAAAGACTAAGTAGCATGTAATAGAAGCTAACTGAAGTTATAAACCAAATGGACCCAACAGGTGTTTACAAAACATTTCACCCAAACACAAAAGAATATACCTTTTTTTTTTCAGAACCTCATGGAATGTTCCCCAAAACATCAACAACAAAATTGAGCATATAAATGGACATAGAGTAAGTATCAATAGATACAAGAAAAAAAATGCATCCTATCTGTCCACCACAGACTACAAGTAGATACCAATAAAAACAGAAACAACTGAAGGCTTAGAACTCATGGAAACTGAACAACTCACAAATGAATGAAAAATAGCTAAAGACAGAAATTAAGAAAAATTAAAAGCTTTCTAAAATTGAAGGAAAATAATAGCACAACTTATTCAAACATATGGGACACAATGAAGGCAGCTCTAAGAGACAAGTACACATAGCATTAAGTGCCTACCTTAAAAAAAAATTGGAGAGACTTCATACTAGTAACTCAACAGCACACCTGAAAGCTCTAGAAGAAAAGAAAAGAAAAAAGAAGTTGCACGCAAAAGGATTGTAAGAAAGTAATAATCAGACTCGGGGTTGAAATCAGTTAACTAGAAATGAACAATAAAAATAATCAATAAAACAATGAGTTGGTTCCCTGAGAAAAATCAATAAGACCACCAAACCCTTATCCAAATTAACTAAAAGGTGGAGAGAGAAGATGATCCAAATTAACAAAATTAGAGATGAAAAGGGCAACATAACAGATACTGAGGCAATCCAGAGAATCATAAGGACATACCTTAAAAACTTGTACTTCACCAAATTGGAAAATCTAAAAGAAGTGGATAATTTTCTCAATATATACCACTTGCCAAAGTTAAATCAAGATCAGATAAGCAATTTAAACAGACTTATAATCCCTAGTGAAATGGAAGCAGTCACTAAAATTCTCCCACCCACCCACCCTCAAAAAAGCTCAGGGCCAGGTGGTTTTAGCACAGAATTCTACCATACTTTCAAAGAAGAGTTAATACCAGTACTCCTCAAATTACTCCACAAAATAGAAACAGAAGGAGCATCACCCAATTCAGTTTTTGAGGCCACAACTACCTTGATATCCAAACCACATAGGGCTCAATAAAGAAAGAGTATTACAGACCATTTCCTCTTATTAACATAGATGTAAAAATTCTCAATAAAATACTTGCAAACCAAATTCAAGAACATATCAAAAAGATCATCCATCGTGATCAAGTAGGCTTCATCCAGGAAATGCAGGGATGATTCAACATATGTAAATTAATAAATGTGATTCACCATGTAAACTGACTGAAAGACAAAAACCACATAATTATCTCATTAGATGCAGAAAAGGCCTTTGACAAAATCCAACATCCCTTTCTGATAAAAAGTCATGGGGAGATTATGGATACCAATGACATACCTCAATATGACAAAGGCAGTTTACAAACAAGCCAATAGCCAAAATCAACTTAAATGGACAGAAACTCAAAGCAATTCACTAAAATCAGAAACAAGACAAGGTTGTCCACTCTCTCCATATCTATTAAATATAGTACTTGAATGAACACAAACCCTTTGTCATATGTGAAGGCCTGGCTTGGGTGACTATATGTTCTACAGACTGCAGTCCCCTTTGGAAAGACACCTAGACACATCAGAAGCACAAAGTAGAGCCCGTGATCTTTGAGGATGTGGCTGTGAACTTCATCCCAGGAGAGTAGGCTTTGTTGGATTCTAGTCAAAAGAAGCTCTACAGGGATATGATGAAGGAAAGCTTTATGCACCTGGTCTCCACAGAACTCAAGTAGTTGAGGAAGACTATGGACATGAATGTTATGGTCAGTGTGGTAAAAACCAGCCATGGCTCCAGAAAACATTGTTAATGAGGCCAAGCCTCCCTCCATAACAGTCTATGAAAGCAGTTTGTGTAAAAGAAACATCATTGACCATTCATCCTCGAATGTGTACCTCAAAGACCAAACTAGAGGGAAATGATCTGAATGTAAGGGACCTGTGGAGAAAGCTTTGAAATATCAGAGAAGGATATCAGTCATTCTGAATCAGGTCAGGTACTTGAAAATTCTTCTAGAAGGGAGAATTTTCCCTATGAAAATCAACAATGTTATGAGCATGTAGGAGCCACCCTTCTAGTCAGCATCATGAGAGAACTCAAGCTGGAGATAAACTCAATGAGAACGTCTACAGAAGATACACATATGGTCAGATACATAAATAAAGCCATTTGTGTGCAAGCAATGTGAAGAAGCCTTCATTGACTCCAGTTACCTTAACCATGAAAAAAGCCATATGGGGAGAAATGTCACACACTGTTTCTGTGAGCCGTTCTGTACCTTTTTATGTAGCAGCATGTTAAGGTGTGCTATGATAGTATGATAAGAGGATCCCTGGGGCTTGTTTGTGAGCCACTCTAGGAAATTAGTGAGCTCCAGATTCAATTAGTTCAAAAAATAACATGGAAGGCCAATGAGGTGGCTCAACCAGAAAAGGTGCTTGCCACGAGCCCCAACAACCTAAGTATGATCTCCGAGATTGACCATAAGATAGAAGGAGAGACCCAACTCCTGCAAGTTATTCTCTAACCTCCACGTGTTGCACTGTGACATGTCCCCCAATAAATACATGTAACTGAAAATGTAAAGAAAAGATGTAAGGTGGAGAAGGGATTGAGGAAAATGCCCAGTGTTGACATCGGATAACTATGCGAATGTGTATACATGCACGTACACACGTACACACACTCTTTTCTTTTCCAAAACAAGGTGCTCAGAAACTAGGTAGAGTTAGTTAAAAGAGTTTAAGTTGGATTTCTGCTCACATAAAAAAAAATAGAGAATATTAGAAGATTGACATCTGAGAACCCAAAACTTAAGTTTCTGAGAAGAAAACATAGGTAAACCCACAAGTTTACAAAAGAAGACCCACAGAGCCAACATGAAGGTCAATCATGCACACTATTCTTTGGGGAAATGTTCTTAGCTGGAGTGTGAGAAAGACAGGATCTCTCTAACAGTGTGTGTGTGGGAGTGTGGGCGTTTACATTCCGAAGGTGCCGGTGACGGCCAATAGCAAAGCTGTGCGGTATGCGTACTCTGACATCACTATTCTGTTCACATGACTGAACCTCTGTCGATGTCTGAACATTCATGCACTGAGGAGAGTGGTAAAGCGGCCACAGCACTGCTTGAAAAATCAGAACGAGACGTAGAAAAGGAAAAGAAAGGAAATGAGATGACAGGGGAGAGGGGGGAGAGAAGGGAAGGAGATGAGGAAGTGGGGAGGGGGAGAAGGGGACAAGGAGAAGATGAAAAACAACAGGTTGAAAAAAAAAAGGCAACAGTAATAACGGAATATTCTCTCCTGTGGTGAAACAAATTCCATAAGAAGCTAAAGGACACCTGTGCTGTGTGGCACCATTAGAAACACAGAGAAGCAGTATACATTGTCTCTTGTTACCGTGTGATATGAAGGTATAACTAGGTAGGACGTACATAGTTGCCCATGGAGATGAAATAAGGTGTGGTGAGGAGGGAGATCAACCAGCTTGTCACACTCACTCACACACATACTGGTTTATGTTTATCATATTTCATTATTATATATTATATACGTGCATGTATATATGTATATACATATTAAAATATTTTCTATATATGTGGATGCATGTGTGGGGTGTGCATGTATATTCATGTGCATGTATGTTCGTGTGCATGTGAAAGCCAGAGGACCACCTTTGTTGTCACTCACAGGAACTCTGTCCATCTCCTTTGAGGCAAGTCTCTTCATGAATCTGAGCCACCTCATCAATAAGCTTAGACTGGGCTGACAGTGAGCCCCAAGGATCCTCCTCCTGCCTTATAAGTATACACCACCTGCCTGGCATTTTTATGGTCCTTGTGCTTGCAAAGCAGGCATGGTACTAATGGTGCTGCGTCTCCATCACTGAACAAGCATCTCCAGCCTTGGCCACAGCCTTACCTGTTTGAAAGTCTTGATGGTGAGGACGGCTACCGCATTCTTTCTGTTCTCTTGCTGTCTTTGGAAAATACTGCACTTAAAGATAAACATGTAAAAGTCACCCAAAAGTAAAAAGTAATGAAAAATATCTACTTCTGGTTCTATCAAAAGGTGATTCAGTGTAGGGCAAAGATTGATAAAATTCAAAACATAGTTTAAGGAAGAACTTTGAGAGGTTTTTTTTTTTTTGCTTGTTTTTCCAACTCTAAAAAATTAGTCATATGGTTAAACTAAAGATTAATTAAAATTTAATTTATTCTGGCATGCTCTTGTCAATTATTTTAATTAGTGCAGAAAATAATGGACTAAAGTGTTTTTAAAATAGTGGAAAACTAACCACTCTTTTGTTGAAGTGGTTTTCTTTTGTCTATCATGACTTAATTTCTAACACATCTTTACTAAAAACTATGGCTCTGGGTTTATGATATTATGGCCAGTCTTTATGGGCAGAATACAATGGTCTGCAAGTCTCATGTGTGGACAGTATAGGAAAGTAAATTTGCTATTGGCTGAATGAATATTTATTTATTAATATTTCAATAGTTAATACATTGATAATAAAGTATATTTTTAAAAATTGTTTTTTATGTGTCTGTGGATGTGTATATACACAGCTCCATGCAGGTGCCCATGTGGCATCCCTTGGAGCTAGAGTCACAGGCAACTGCTAGCACCTAATATGAGTGGCTGGGAACCAAACTGGGGTCCTCTGCAAGAGCAACACTCTTAGCTGCTGAGAGATCTCTCCAGCCCCACTAAAGGGTTATTAAAGACTACAATATCCACATAACAATTAGTTGGTAGCTGATTTTGGTTGTGATATGAGTGAACAGATGTGTGACAAAATTTCATTTATTGCTCACAGTAGTCTTTGAGGAAGGCACTAAATCTCTACAAGGTTTATTAAGTTTTCTACTTTATAGGAATCTGCAGTAAATTTTGTTCACAGCTGCTTCTTGAACAGGTCTTCCAAAGTAGGGATAGAGATTCCTTCCACAAAGGAGCCAGGGTTGCTTCATGAGACATGAGACATGCCTGACTGGACTATTCTTCTACTTGGTAGAGACTCTGGACTTCCAAAGGTTTTAGGCAGAGATTATCCTACTTGATTGCTCTGTATCAGTAGTGGAAGAATGTGGTGGTTTGAATAAGAATGGTTCCCACAGGATCATATATTTGAATGTTTAATCACCAAGGGGTGGTACAATTTGAAAGGATTAAAAGGATTCGGAGGTGTGGCCTTGGAGAAAGTGTGTCTTTGGGGGTGGGTTTTGAGGTTTCAAAAGTCCATGCCAAGCCCGGAGGACCTTTCTGCCTACAGATCAGGACGTAACTCTCAGGTAGTGCTCCAGCACCTGCCTGCATGTTGCCATGCTTCCTGCCATGATAATGGATTAAACCTCTGAAACTGTAGATAAGGCTCCAGCTAAATGTTCTCTTTCACAAGAGTTGCTGTGATCATGGTGTCTCTTCACAGCAATAGAACAGTGACCAAGGCAAAGAACTTGGGGCTTTTCCATTTGAAAGAATCTTCACCCCTTTCTGCATTCTATTCTCTCTTCTTAACAAAAATAGAAAGACCGGGTGACCTTGCTTCTATTAGCTGTTGATTCCTAGGACTAGACTTCCCTATAAATGTGTATGTACTTGAGATCAAATCTAAGCACATCAGTGAGTATCACAACCTCTCTCAAGCTCATTCTGATTCTCAAGGTGTTACTCAGTTAAATGATATTTGATTTGGTCATGCAAATTTTAAGTCTGTCTTATCAGAGAACTGCATTAGATGAGGAATTGTTCTTGCTGCTCACACATTATATGAGATGCAAAGAAGTGTGTGAGTTACTACTTTTCACAAATGGTTCATCTAATAG